GATGTGTGACTACTTGGAGAGGCCACCTAGGACACTGTTTCTAGCATGTACCTGGGTTAAACTTTTTTTTTCCCCTTGAGATTATTATTTTTCTCCAGCTTGATAGTTTGAGGTTTCATATAGGGAACAAGGCTCATAGTTAACCACCATTAAAAACAGCCTTTACTGATATCATAGCAGTATACAGTTTCAAGGTGTGTGCCCATTACCTGTTCAGAGAGGTGGGTTGTTGATGCAGATGTGGATGTGATAGAAAAAACTGTAACTCCTGTTCCACTTGCCTTATTTAGTAATGGAACACTGTAATAGGCCTCTCAGGTGACCCTTCTAATGGTTTGACATTAGCTGAATAAATTCTTCAAAATTGAATTTGTTTTATTTTATTTTTTACCAATATAGGAATTCATGAAGATTACCAGCTGCCTTATTATGATCTTGTACCTTCTGATCCATCAGTTGAAGAAATGAGAAAAGTTGTTTGTGAACAGAAGTTAAGGCCAAATATTCCAAACAGATGGCAGAGCTGTGAAGTGAGTATTTCTTCTTGATACTATGCAATTTTCTAAACTGCTTCTGCTAAGTAAGTGGAAATATGCTACTTTTCCTTAAGGAAAACAGGCAAGAATTTTCTTTTTCTTAGCAATTAGACTAATGAGTAAAAACAGAATAATTTGGTTTTCATGTCCAATTTTAAGTACATGGAAAGGGCCATGAAGCATTTGCGATAGACATCAATGTATCAGAACATTATTTAGATCTATTAAATGAACTAAGGCACCTGCTTTTTAAATGAATGCCTCCCTTCAGCCAGGGCAGCCTGGAATAGTGAGGTCTGTACCAGACAGGAATGAGGAAACCTGTATTCTAGACGAGCCTGGCTACCATTTCAGAGTCTAACTTTGAACAAGTCACTTCAGTTCTCTGGAACTAACATCCCTTTGTCAAATGAGGAACTTGGATAAAATGATTGCAAAGATGCTTCAGATTATTTTGCATTTTATTCATCTGATTGCCTAGATGACCATTTTCCACTGGTGTCTGAGCTTCTCAACCCCCACTTTTACAAGAAGTTTTAGAAATGTTTTCTTTGTTGTAAATTTAAGAAATTCATGAGATGAATTTTATTTAACCTATTCTTAATTGCTAGCTGTGACTGTTACAATATTGGTGAAGCATGGCATCTCTCTCCAGATTTGAAATTTTGTAGCTTAGGAGGAGTAAAAATTGGTCACTTCAGTAGCTGATTTTACATCTTAAAATAATGTAGGACTCAGCAGAGCCTCTGATATTAGGAGAGCTTGCTATCTCCAAAAAAATCAATATCTAGGCCCAGATGAAATACATCTTAGGGCCAGATGAAATACATCTTAGAATTTCAGCAAATTCTGCTCAAAGAATTTGCATGTGACAGTTTAACAAATGAGAGTGGAGCTTGTTTGTCTTTTTAAAATTCGATCTGGATACTTCAAAGTACAAACCTAAAGTATTCATACACTCATTCAGTAATTAGAGCAGATTATTATTAAACAGATGGCTTTTAAGCACGAAGAAAAAGTTAGTAGTTAACATTAAGAATGCATGTGTAATTTGCAATTCCTATCACATCATGCTGAATTAATACCATTGCTGTCATTTTTGTTTTTTTTTCAATTTGATAGTTAGTTTTCGATGTACTTATCACTAATTCAAAGTTTCACTTTTCTAGGGTTTTATAAATCTCTCAGTTGAAACACATCAAGAATGTGAAACTGATAGGATACCTTAAAAACAAACAAACAAACAAACAAACAAACAAAAAAACCCAGTCTGTTCCAGAGCATTGTAATCATTTCCAGTTTGGACTGACTGCTCTTGAGACCAGCTGTAGAGCTTTCATCTCAGGGTATCCCTCATCTTTCATCCTGGGATTCCCTTTGCCTCTCTTTTATGTTCAGTCCTCCTTTTTGGATCATGTGTCTTCCTGTTTCTTGGTTTATTCATTTGCCTCCCCTCTTTTGGGTCTCTACTCAAGTGAGTCATTACCTCTCTACCAATTTAAAATAGTACCCTCCTTCCCTATCACATTTTACAGGTTGAGCACCCCCAACCTGAAAGTCCAAAATCCAAAATGCTCTAAAATCTGAAACTCTTGGAGCGCCAACATGACATTCAAAAGAAAAGTTCATTAGAGCATTTGGATTTCAGATTTTTGGATTAGGGATGCTCAGCTGGTTAAGTATCTGTAAATATTCCAAAATATGAAAAATTCAAAACACTTCTGGTCCCAAGCATTTCGGATAAGGGATACTCAACCTGTATATCTGTCCCGAAGTTATTTTTCTCCTTAGCATTCACCACTATATGGTGGTCAGTGTACTTTTATGGTAATTTATTTATTACATGCCATAAACTTTATTAGGACAGAGATTTTGTCTGTTTATTCACCGTTATATCCCTAGCACCTGAAATGGTACCAATATATGGTAGGCATTCAGTAAATATTTGTTGACTGAATATATGTATGTGCTGGGCACTTGGTCCTTTTTATCTGGAAGCAAATGTTCATTTTTAGGAAATGTTCCTCAAGTATTCTTTGATTGCTTCCCTTCCATTTTCCTCTGTTCTCTTTCTTCAAATCTAGTTATGAGAATGTCAGAAGAGTCCCTCTGATTTTATCTTTTCTCCCCTGTCACAGGTTGAGCATCCTTAATCCAAAAAATTTGAAATGCAAAATTTCATATCACTTTCCTCAAATGTGTGATCACACTCATTCTCTTCATGTTTAAAAAAGGGGGCACTGAAAGCTGATAGGAGACTTTGTGCATGTAAATGGAACTTTTTGACTGTGATCTTTTAGGTGATCTAACTGGGTTGCTTTCCTGGGGAACCACTGATACTAGTCTCTTGGGCAGCTGAGATTTTCAGAGAAGACTCTTCTGGTCTCCTGCCTGAAGGAATATATACAAGTTGCTGCCCATGTTTTTAGGGAGAAAGCTTACACAGGTGATCTAACTGGGTTGCTTTCCTGGGGAACCACTGATACTAGTCTCTTGGGCAGCTGAGATTTTCAGAGAAGACTCTTCTAGTCTCCTGCCTGAAGGAATATATACAAGTTGCTGCCCATGTTTTTAGGGAGAAAGCTTACACTTAGCATTCAGTGTATTTTCACTGTGAAACTTCTGCCCTCGTGTTCCTCAAGCCAGAAATCTGTTTTACCTTCTCAGATGAAAACCTTCTAATCTTCTGGGTACAGGTGGGGTGGTCACCAGCTATGTGAAATTGAGGAGGGGTAGGTATCTGCAGTTCCAGCGCTTTGAGGTGATTCTCCTATTTTTACCCTGAGCTTCACCCTAGATGTACTTCATGCAGCTAATTTCTTGGTTTGGAGGTAATTTCATTTTGAGTCACATTCTTTGTTTGCTGTGCCCACCACTGGTTTAAGATTCAGCTTTTTCAGATCTTCTAAGTGAGTTACTCCTTGTCCATCTGCTTTCCAGCAGCTGGCACCAATACCCTGTTGATGGAAATGTAACTCATTTCTACTCATTTGCTATTACAAATAATGTTGAAACAAAAATAATTTTTGTACATGTATTATTTTAAAAGAAAATTTACAGGTAAAGACTCTTATCAAGATCAATGGAAAGTGGTGTATGCATTAATTATTTTTCTTGTGTTTTCTTGTAGGCCTTGAGAGTAATGGCTAAAATTATGAGAGAATGTTGGTATGCCAATGGAGCAGCTAGGCTTACGGCTTTGCGGATTAAGAAAACATTGTCACAACTCAGTCAACAGGAAGGCATCAAAATGTAATTCTGCGCCTTTGCCTGAACTCCGCTTTTTCTTCACTTTGCTCCTGGGTTTTAATTTGGAAGGTCAATTGTTCTACCTCACTGAGAGGGAACAGAAGGATATTGCTTCCTTTTGCAACAGTATAATAAGGTCAATTAAAAATTTCCCAGGATTTCTTTGGATCCAGGAAACAGCCATGTGGGTCCTTACTGTGCACTATGAACACTTCTTTCCCAGGACAGTTACAAAGTGTTATGTGGTCTACTTTTATTTTTTTTTTTAACAAAACTTGTTTTTTTAAAAGATGATTGCTGGTCTTAACTTTAGGTAACTGTCTGTGCACTATGAACACTTCTTTCCCAGGACAGTTACAAAGTGTTATGTGGTCTACTTTTATTTTTTTTTAACAAAACTTGTTTTTTTAAAAGATGATTGCTGGTCTTAACTTTAGGTAACTGCTGTGCCGAAGATCATCTTCAAGGGTAAAGGAGCTGGATTGCTGATATAATGAAACCTTTCTTATTTTTAAAGAAGGTGATTTATTCCTGGTTGGTACATTCTCAGAGGATTCTGAACCACTAAAGAGTTTCCTTGATTCAGACTTTGAATGTACTGTTCTATAATTTTTCAGGATCTTTAAACTAACACTTATAAAACTCTTATCTTGAGTCTAAAAATGACCTCATATAGTAGTGAGGAACATAATTTATGCAATTGTATTTTGTATACTATTATTGTTCTTTCACATATTCAGAACATTACATGCCTTCAAAATGGGATTGTACTATACCAGTAAGTGCCACTTCTGTGTCTTTCTAATGGAAATGAGTAGAATTGCTTAATGTCTGTGTGTTAAAATCTCTGTTGTTTGAATTCAAAAAGTTTATTTATCTTGGTAACTCAAACTTTTCTGTTTTGGTTTTTCAAAGGGTTTTTGTGGTATGTCATTGGATATTCCATTTTGAAAATGCCTTTCTCCTACCAAAATGTGCTTAAACCGCTAAAGAAATGAAGTGACATTAATTAGTAAATTGTCATCATGGTCATGTTCGAATATTCTCACATCAACCTTTTGCATTTTAATTGTGTTGTATAATTATACTTTTAAAAAATCAAGTGGCACTCTAGATGATTATAGTACTTTAATAATTTAAAGTTTGTAGCATACAGACTAATTTTTCTAAAAGGGAAAGTTTGTCTAGCTGCTTGTGAAAAGTTGTGTGGTATTCCGTAAGCCATTTTTTTCTTTATTTGATCAAAGACAGTGTTATTTTTTTAAGAAATGAATTAATTACATTTAAAATTAGAGTATGGTTACTGTTAAAATAGTCCTTTTTCTAGAAGGCAAAGGTAGTTAATAATTTGAATAGATAAAGGTTGTGAGAGTCACAATTGTTATATAGGCGTAAATGTTCGGTGGATTCTGTCTTTGTAACTAAGGTTAGAGTTAGTGTGGTTTTGAGGTCTCACTACACTTTGAGGAAGGCAGCTTTTAATTCAGTCTTTCCTTATGTGCACAGATATTGCAGCTGCTTAATTTACATGGTTATATAATGAATTCAGTGCACCCTTGATATTTGGGAGAGGTGGTAGCTAAAGAACATTCTGACTATGAGTTCTCCATTTACAGATGTTTTTGGTCAAATTAAATGTTTAAAGCAAACTTGTCATGGTCTTCTCATATTAAGTTGAAACTAGCTTGTAACAACTGGTTTTTACTTCTAGTGCTATCAAGTCTTTGCAGGGCGTTTACAATTTCCAAGTCCTTTTTATCACTGTGATCTTATTCTGAGGGGAGAAAAAACTATCATAGCTGTGAGGCATGATTGACTTTATCATGCTATCAATTCCCGGAGGTCAGAAGGAAGAGAGTGGCCATTTGCACTGAATGAGTTGCATTTTGATAATGTCTTATTTCTTATACATAGAATAAATTCGAAGGACTATTTGGTCTTAAAACCAAAGTAATTTTAGAATGAATGACATATTACATAGGAATTTAGCATCAATTTCATGCGTTTAAAAACATCATGGGCAAAGTGTGCTTAGAGATCAATATTTTGACTACAAATTTGAGTTTTTTTCTGTAGTTACCATATTTTTATCAAAGCATATGAATGAGTTTGAGAGGTTTGTTTTTATAGTTGTGTTCTAATTACCTGTTTAATAATATCTAGTTCTGTGATCAGGTACTTTATTTTTTTTCTGGCCATTTCTAAGCCTACCAGATCTGCTTTATGAAATCCAGGGGACCAATGCATTTTATCACTAAGACTATTTTTATATAATTTTAAGGAAATACCAAAAGTTGTCTGATTTAAAGTTGTAATACATGATTTCTCACTTTCATATAAGGTAATCAACTTTTACTGAAGATATTCTTTATTAAATCAAAGACTGAGTTAAAATTTTACTGTTCTTGCTTAAGTGGATAAAATGTACTTTTGATGAATCAGGGATTTTTTTTTTAAAGTTGGAATTTAGTTGTAAATTGAGTTTACATACTACTGCGGCGAATTCCTTTATTGGCTAGGGATGGTTTGATTAACAACCCCAATTGGCTAATATTGAAAATGAAAATAACTTAAAGGATGAAATGAATCGTGATTACTGTGGCCATAACTACAGATATATTTGACTAGAGTAATAATTTTGTCATTTAGAAATTCAATCCTTTGTTTATACTGCTTATCCTAAGATGCTTATCTTTCAAGATTCAAGCTGGTTAAAACATATCTTCTGGCAAATTATTTGTCAACATTCATTTTGTCAATACCCTGAAGGGGTGGGGTGGGAATGGGAGAAGTGTGATTAATGGGACGTAGACATCTCTGGTCCTTCCTTCATATTTTCCATCCTGCTCTCTTTCTTGCATCCTGCCTTCCTGCTGGTCCCTGACTCAGAGATCATTGCCTCCCCCACCACTAGCCTTTTGACTGAAGGAGATGCTCTTGAGACCTTCAGTAAAATGGTTTATGGAAATTGAAACTGCTGTGACTTTAACTGTGGGCAAGGAGTGGGATGGCAGCAGGGTGGCAGCTGTGTCAGTAGGAGTTGCGCTGGAAGCAGTGGCCAGTTGTATCCATTATAGAGCAGGCTACGGCCTGAAGAGCTGAGCCTGCAATTCTGCTGTAATGATAGTGCTCAAGAAGTGCCTTGAGTCGGTGTACAGTGCCATGGCCGTCAGGAATTCTAGATTTCAGTTCTTATTACAAAATGTAAGTGGTCACTTGGCCATTTTGCAGTCCATGCATGAGTTACCTTTTTTATTTCTCTGTGTCTGAGAACTGTCAGACTGTTTTGTAAAACAAGATTGCAAGTGCTAATTAAAATGCACAACAAAATCAGTATCCCATCGGTCATGTCATATCAAAAGTTTATCCTTGCACTGAAAGAGTGATTGTAAGTCAACTGTTTCTTTTGTTTGTTGACCGGGGCAGTGTTCTGGCTCCAAATGGTGGAGATTCCAAATAACGGTTCTGTTACAGCTCGGCAAAAAAATGCCAATTCAAATATTTTGAGATCCTAAGGAATAGCTCTGGACATGCAGCTTCTTATGTCTGTTTTGGAATGCTGGAATACCCATGAGCCCTCTCTTTAGGAATGCTGGACATTATGAGGACTGTCAGTACATTAAACTTTTCAATCCCATTATCTTATTTGTAAATGTGAACTTTTAAAAATATGATTAATAACATTCAACCTGTTTCTTAAAACTTAAGAACTTCACTGAGTTTGTTTTTATTTTTTAACAAGATTTGTGAATTGAATATCATGAACTGTTTTGATATCCCTTTTTCACATTGTGCCAATGGAATGGGGTGTTTGGTATTTCTTTATATGTCAAGGAGATGCTTCAAAACGTCAATTGCTTTAAACTTAAATTACCTCTCAAGAGACCAAGGTACATTTACCTCATTGTGTATATAATGTTTAATATTTGTCAGAGCATTCTCCAGGTTTGCAGTTTTATTTCTATAAAGTGTGGGTATTATGTTAAATTACTCAAATGGTACTGTATTGTTTATATTTGTACCCCAAATAACATCATCTATACTTTCTGTTTTCTGTATTTTATTGTATTTGTGCAAAATTCTTTTGGCTTTATCAGTGTAATCTTTGCCCTTTCAGATATGTACAGAAAATGTCCATATAAATTTTCATTTAAGTTGAATGGTTTTGAGAAGCCTGTAAAGAGGAGAGAAGAGCATAAACTGCGTTTCCCCATAAGTTTTTAAAATTGTATATTGTATTTGTAGTAATATTCTGAATGAACTGTAAATAGGAAATAGAAGAGTGATGCTTATGTTAAGTCCTAACGCTACAGTAGAAAAATGGAAGTGATGAAAATAAATTACTTTTTTTCCCAAGTGCCAGTGGCATATTTTAAAAATAAAGTGTATATTGGAGTAAGCCATGCTGTTACGAAATGTAGTTGCTGTAGATAGAGACTAGAATCTCGGGTTACAAAGCATCTGGGTCTCCCTCACTGCCCTTCCATCCTGTGAGCTGCTTTCATCCAGAAGGTGAAGCTCAGCATGTCCCCTGTGGGATCCAGTTTGGAGAAGTCTGAATAATTTACCCCAGTGGCAGCTGGCCAAACCCCAGAGCCAACTTTAATGTTCACCTCAGTCTCTGAGGATAGTGGGGCCTCGAGCATCTCTCTCTTTTAATAGGCAAGAAAAAAAAAAAAAAAAGAGGCCAGGGAAGCTAAACGCTCTATGTGTTCTCAATGTGTAGCAAGCCTCCCTAGATCTGAAACAGGCTAGAACAGTTGTAGGCAGTACAAGTGGAATATGCTCTAGAGGACCTGCTGGTGCACTTTCTGGCTTCTGAATAGGGAGGGCACCTGGATACAGCCATAGCCAAGTTTTCTATGCTAAGTTTAGGTCCTTCTTTCCTTTTCCAACTGTTGGTCTCATGAGAGTATGGGGAAGATGACTTCTGCTGCCTTGAGCTCCTCCAACCAGCTCAGAGGGGCTGGGCATCCTGGGGTTGTATTTCAAATTCAGGGCCTGCAAATTTCAAGTAATAAATCTGCAGTTAGTTGCCATTCTCCCCAGGA